TATGTGAGTAACATAATAGATTAAAATGACAGTTTTGTCCTATTTTGCTTTATGTGAATTATGGTTTGCCCTAACTGATTAGATTACCAATCTAATTGATTATTTCTTCCAGTAAAGTGATTTTGATCAATCTAAACCAAATTCAGTTGTACACATATGATCTATGTATTTCATTGTTCTCTTATTATCCTAAGAAATCTTTTTATCAATTTTCATTATGCAATAGAGAATCAATTTTATTATTAACTACTTTATGATACTTAATGGGATTGTTTAATATTATGTGATGAATGTTTTGAGGTTTCATGTGATATTATGCAATGTTGGTGTGGAGTATATGTATATATAAGAGGGATATGATGATGATGGATTTGTGGATGATTATGTGAATGGTATTGATGGACGTAATTCCATGAACCTTGTGGAGAGATTACATGGTGATGTCCTGTGTTGTTGTAAGTATGAATATAGGAAGCTCAATCATGGAGTTCATATTGACATTCTAATGGTCATCCATTCTCAAGTAGAGAGGGGCGAGACATGTCATGAGAATAGCAGGAGGTCTTAGTCTAGGGGTTTTACCTTGGCCTAAGGCGAGTGATAACGGAATAACCTTGTGTGGTAGCTTAGGGTGGGCCAGTTGTTTCACCACAACAAGTGACAAACTGCCATAACTCGATGATATTCATACTACTCTAGATAGTTAAGTCAAAATATTGTCGTTGAGATTCTTGATAGAGGGAGCACATGTTTAGCTTAACCCACAATCTCAGTGATATCTCAGTTTTTGATGATGACAACACATAATTAATAACACATGTATATTTTGTGTTACATGTTCTATGTTTACATATTATATACTTTTCTTTAATATTTGTTAAAGCATATATGTGAACATGTTTGTGTTGTTCATTGCATATCACTGTGTTAAATATGTGATTTTATATGTGTATGCATGACATATGTTTTTGGAAAAGGAAAATCACAAGCACTATGGTTGAACCTTTAAATGTGTGGCAAAACAACAGTTTTAAGTCGATTACATTATGGGGTGAATCGATTACAACTTGTGTGTTTGCACAATCTTTTTTGAAGTGTGTGTGTGAGATTTTCCAAAGAGAAAAGTTTTCAAAAACCTTGCAAAAAGATTTCACTTAATCGAATGCATGCTCTCTGTATTCGAATAAGTTAGTTGATGTTTTGAAAATATGCTAAATGCTTGTAACAACTAACATAACAATCATATTTTAAATATGTTGACCAAACATTAAATGATAGCCGATTGCATTAATTATACATTCAATTATTTATTTGATTGTTACTAAATCTGTTATAAATGATTGTTATATTTGATTACGTTAGTAGCTCAATTGATTAAAATGTGTCTGATATGTGTTATACTATAAATTGACGCAGATTGGAATTATGTAAGAACTTTTGTGATTCTAATAATTTCATATCCTTTATAGAAAGTTATGATCTTATAGAAAGAGAGGAAAAACTCCAAGAAACAAGATTGACTATGGTGATCAACAACTTGTGATTTCTTGAAGAGCAAGAATGTTGTGTTTCAAAGACTGATCAATCTGCACATTAGGGTGTTACTGCGTGATCAGATTCTACAATCTCTTGAAAATTGGTTTGAGTTCCCTGTTGTGACTACAGGAAGAAGAACGTGTGTGTTCTTGACTTTGAGGGTGCCTCAAAGGGGTTAGTTGGAAGGAGAGGGGATTCTTGCTATTGGTCTTATTGTGTATTGCCTATATTTTCATTAGAGGGTTTTAGAGAGGTGTTTTTACATTTTTACGTGAGGTCTTCTGTAGAAGAAACCTTGTGTAAAAACCTTGATCATTATAGTGCATTTGTTTCCCGTGGTTGAAAGGACACTAGATGTAGGCAGGTTGGTCAAATCATTATAAAAACGCAGTGTTTGAATTTTTTGATCCTACTCTCTTTTATTCAATCGATTACTTCATGTACTTATTCGATTAAGTTTACGCTGCATTGAAAATATTTTACCTTGCAGTTCAAGAAAAGTATAAAGACATCATTTTTTGTGGAAAAAATTTTAAAAGCTTTTGTTTTTACATTGCACCAATTCACCCCTCTCTTGGTGTGAGAAATTGAGTCATTCTATTTTAACAATTGTCATAAAGTGTTTGGTTGGTTTGGTGTGTGTCTAATATGTTTAACATGTTTGGATGTATTAGGAATTATTTGTATTGTTAGCTTACCCTTACTTTTGTGGTTGTCTATCTGTATGTTGTTTTTTCTTTTGCAACGATTACCTTAACCAGTGTGAGCTTAGGAAGAAAACATCTTTTCAGTTGATTCAGTGTTTGGTTGAGAGATGGAAGCAACAAGATAGATAGATTTTGTTCTTCAAGAGTGTAATCTCCTACTCTAGTAGCCTCAAGTTCCTTGTAAGTTATCATATATGTACGTTTTATTTTAGTAGTTTTATACCATTAAAATGAGATGTTACAATGCATAATTAAATTAAATTAAATTTGAGAAGGTTTTAAGTAAGATATTTGTAGTGCGATTTAATTTAGTTGTTTAAAAATAAATTTAAATCAAATCTAACACTAATATGGATTTCAATTTGAACATAGCAAATCTAAACCAAATTAATCTTACTTTTGTTTCTTTGAATTGATTTTGTAATTTTATTTTATATTTTGAAAACATAGCAAAATCAATTCCCTCCATGCGAAATCGATTCTCTCGATTGAGAATTGGTTTCCCTTCCTTAAGAAGTCATGCAAACTCCATGAATACAAAGAACAACTCCATCAACTGCATGTGAGGTAAGTTGAAATAAAAAAAAAAGAGTGATGGACATATATGTAAAAGGTCATGTCTTTCCCTCCTCATTTCTTCATTCATGCGCGAATGAAATTCTTCCTCAAATTTAGCATCCCAAATTAACAATAAATAAATTCACTCGTTCATCCATCTTTAAAAACAATATATCCCTTCAAAATGTTATACGTAAAGAGAGATTTATGCTTAGTATTGTTATACTGGTTCATATACTAATTAAGATTACATTCAATTCTTGATCAACTCAATCATGTTTTACTACGCAAACTATCACTTCAAAAATAACAATCAAGCATTGTTTGGATCTTAATCACTCTTAGCTAAACAACTTTCAAATATTTTTTGGAACAATATGTGTAAGATTGAGAGTATCTTTTGGAACAATAATCATTCCTAAAACACTAGATTATAAGGAATGTGATTAACATATCATATATTTGGTAGTTAAAAGATATGTAACGTCCTTAAATGAGTAAAAGATGGGGTTACTTTTTTAGGTTACTTTATAAGATAATGGTTGTTGCGGTAACTGATGGAGGGTTTGGTAAGAAGAATATGAGAATCTATTAAGAATAAAAAAGAAAATATAAAAAGTGAAATAAAAACTTTTAACATGGCTAACCACATATTTGAAAACTGAATAAATAATTCAATATTGGTTAAGATTATGTCATTAACGTTTTAAATGTCGTCAGCAAAAGTGACTAAATCGAACAATTTTATAAAAAAAAAATAGAACTACTTTAAACAACTAAAAAATAAAAAGACTATTTTAAACAAAACTAGCAAATAAGACCAAAATAGGTATTCAACATTGTTTTTTATCATTTTACTAACAAAATTCGTTTTTTTAAGAAATAATTATTTTAGTAAAAGTGTCAAAGTGAATCAATCAGATTCAAACAGATTCATTAAGCATAAAGAATTAATGAATTAATAGATTAACACGCCTTAAAAATATTGTGTTCTTTTAATTTATTTCATATATTTATTATATTCCAATCAAACTAAATTAATTTAAACTCTTATTTATAACATTATTTTACAACAAGACAATCAAAATATTCATTTATTTTACCAAATATTATTATAAAGATAATATAAAAAGTTATAGTGTCAATTTATATAACTTCAAATATATTAAATATTATTATAGTATTTAAAAATATTAAATTCTGAATCTAATTAAACGTAATATGTAATTATAATAAAAAAATTGTAAAAAATAATAAAAAGAGTTGTTGGTGTTGGATCGCGAATCAATTCATTTTCAATCTCATGTCTAACATGCGAATTAAGTAAATTGAACCTAATTTGTCCTACATTTAAAAAAATATTTTTTCTAATCCAATTTAGCTAAAATTTGTTGTGAACCGACTTAGTTTACATGTTAAAACTCAATTTAATATCTCTATTTCTTTTTTTTTTTCGGAACTAAAAAATATTTTCATTCTCAAATAAAATGTACAAGCTAAGCAAAACAATTAACAAGTCTAAATAACTATTTCATCCATTTATTATTATTTTTATTACAAAAAAAAAATAATCACACGGCACAGTTTAAAACATTAATTTAATCAAAGGGTTTATAGTGTTCCAAAACTAGATCCTGCTTACTTTCAAAGTAACTGAATCCATTGGAGAAACTTTTCCTAGTTAGTCAATAGAATAAGGGGTTGTTGAAATAACTATTTTGGATCTAGTTGCATTATAGTTGTTTAAAAAACTTTTAAATTGTTTCTAAGAACCACTTAAAAATGAAAAATAATATTTTATTTAATTCATGGCTAATTTAAAATTTAAAAAAGTATAAAACTATGAATTAGTTGAATTTTGTTTAGAAGTTTATCTACTAGAATGTAGTAAAATAAAAAAAAAGAAATTTTTTAACAATTTTTTTAATAATTTTTTTACAATAATTGCTAACTCATAATTGATCAGTTTCAAATGTACAAATCAGTTTTAAATATATAAATCAATAAAATAATAACGATTTATTTTAAAAAAGTTGTTAAAAAAAATTTATTAATATATCATAATCTATAAATAAAAGATGAATAATAAAAGAGTAACGTGGACAGTGAGTTTATATATTTTGGTTTAGAAAGTTTACACAATGCACTGAAAATATATAATGCTCCCATGTGAAGGGTCTGTGAAAATGGTGGGAAAGGTGAGAAATGAAAACTGACAGTTCAATATTTATTACCACACTAATTTGAAATAGTATTATTCCATTGAGCCCCACTCTATAATCCTGTCTCTCTCTATGCAAGTTGTTCAGAAAACGTTAAACTCCAAAATGTAACATCGAAGAAAGAAGTAAGTTGAGTAGCTAGAAAACAATAGATGGACCAAAATTTGAAGTCAGTCTTGGTGCAAGTGAGGATCAGTCTGATAATAAACAACGTCTCCAGTGTCACTCACAAAGTGGTCTTCTCTCATGCTCTGCACCAAATACTTTATTAGATGAAATGGAATTGGTGCAGATCTCTCTGGCTCACGGTAATACTCTCCAAGAACTCCTTTTGCTGCCTTTGTCTGCACTCATTTCAAAACACACATCTCACAACTCTGATAATAAACATTCAAATACTCATAACTCATTTACTACTTCTGCCCTCAACGTCAAAACCAAGTTCAAATAATAATACTCACTTTCTCATTATAAAAATGCAAGTGGGTGCAAAAAAATGCTTTAAAAACAAGGGAAAGGTTACATGGAAAAGAGTGTGTAACAGGAGATAAAACAAAAGTAGCAATTGAATAGTGTTTATGGTTTTTGGGGTGAATAAAAAGTGTACCGCTTGAACAAGGTTATAGTGAGGGATTTGAGGGAAGAGATGATGGATAACGTGAGTTCCAATGTCATGGTGAAGGTTGTTGATCCAGCCATAGTCACGATCCACAGTTGTAAGACCTCCTCTTAAATAACTCCATTCCTGTCCAATTCAGAACACCACAGACTGTGTTATTGCTGCCTCAAAAACCAACAAGTTACCACTTACCTCACCTAATTTCTGGTACGGCTAAACTAAACATCTATAACTAGTTTCAATAATATAAGAAGTTAAAGGATGCAACGGGATGAACTGAATTTGTTACCTGGCCGCGCGGTGGTACCAAAGGGCACGTTTTCTCGCTCATTATGACCACACACACGGACAAATGAATGCACGTGCAAACGCATTTGCATGGACGCACGCCCATACACGCACTCTCTACACACAAACACTCGCACAAACGCATGCAGGAACAGAACACACACCCAATCTAGGGTGTGTGTGTGGGGGGGGGGGTGGGGTGTGGGGGGGGTGGGTTGTGTGTTAGTGAATGTGGTGTTGTAAAGTGTGTCTATAGATGGGTGTGTTTGTTTGGGTTGTGTTTTTATGGGTTGTGTTTGGGGAGTGTGTGTTGTGGGTGTGGGGTGGGGTGGTTGTGTGTCTTGTATTGTGTTGTATCTGTGTTTTTGTGTGTTGGTGGGATTTGTATATTTTTTTGTGGTTGGTGTGGTGTGAGTGTGTGGGGTATGTGTATGTTTGCGTGTGGGGTATGTGTATGTTTGTATGGCTGTTTGTGTGTCTGTGGAGGGTAGCGGGTAGTTGGGGTTGGGTATGTATATGTATGTGTGTGTTTGTAATTGTATGGTATGTATTTTGTTGTGTGTGTTGTGTGTGCCGGGGGAGGGGGTTTTTATGTGTTGTGCGTGAGTTGTGTTGGGAGGTTATGGTCTGTTAGTAGGTGGGTGGGTTTGGGTGGGTTTGGGTGCGGTGGGGTGTTGTATAATACGTGTGTGTAAGTGTATGTGTATCTGTGTGAATATACATTGGCTTGTGTGTATGTGTATGTGTTTATGTTATCTATGTGTGTGTTGTGTAGTTGTATTCTGTGTGTGTGTGTGTGAGTTATGTAGGTGTGTGTTGGCTTTGTTTGTGTTTGTATTATATGATATATGCGCTGTGCTGTGTATGTGTGTTTATGCATCATGCGTGAGTATGTGTGTGCGTAGCTTGGGGGTGATGTGCTGTACTAGTATATGTGTGTAATATTGTGTGTATGCGTGGTAATGTGTATAGTTTAGTTGTGATTTGTAGCTTGGTGTGCTGTGTGTAGCAGTGCATGTGTAGTTAGTTTGTCTATGTGCAAGTTCTTTTTTTTTGTATTGTGATGTGTGTGCGTATATGTGATGACTGTGATCGTGACAAGTAGGTGGTGAGTAATGTATGTTTGTGATGTGTGTTTGTTGATGTGTAGCTAGTATTGTGTGTGGTGGATGTGGTGTGTGTGTGCTAATATAGTTCGCTTTTTATAGTATTGCTGTGAGTGATAGTTGTGTACTGTTTATCAGTGTTTTGTGTGTGGTATAACACGTAATTTATATAGCTGTGTTTGTGATGCCGTGTAATATATTTTATTGTGCTGTGTGCACGCTGTTGTTGTATAGTTTTTTGAAATGGAGGTATTATTCTATATCTCAAGATAGTATGCATTAGATGATTTGAGCGGAAACTGGGATTGCATGAATTCAATAAATAGTGTGGAAGCCACGACCCATGGATCCTAATTTACTACATTACGTTACCGTTCACTCATAACCACGGGAAGAGCCTATGTCTAGACCTGAGAAATATAGAAGACTAGTAGTTGTTAATTCATATTTGAAAGATGTATTGAGTTCTCGGTCTAACATTTTCCTTGTGCAGTTAGTGTGGTGTGATAAGCCAAATCCCTTAATTCCCCGTGCTGAAGATTATTGGAATGCTAGTTTATTCGTATATCAAAGTACATTAAAGGATCTTTTGGAAAAGGATTATTATATGGTTCTAATAACCATACAAGAGTGATTTGTTATTGTAATGCTGATTGGGTAAGATCTCCTTCTGATAAAAGGTCTACATCCAGATATTGTGTCTCCATTGGTAGCAACTTGATCTCTTGAAAAAGCAATAAACAGAGTGTTGTGACAAGATCTAGTGCATAAGTAGAATATAGAGTTATAGCCTCAGTCACGTGTGAGCTTGTTTGGCTTAAATAATTGCTTACAGAGTTACAATTTGGAGATGTCACTCAAATGAAGATTATATGTGGCAATCAAGTTGTTCTTCATATTAGTTCTAATCCTGTCTTTAATGTATATTCAACACAAGGAAGATTAATTTCATTCATAGTTTTCACTATATTCAACAACTTTTCATGAAATGTAATTGGAAGTTATTGGGGTGTCTAACAACTTCCAAGTTGAACGCGTGTTGATTGACACAAAAACAAAAGTTATGTAGGGGGTGTACTAATTCTTCATTTCAATTGAAATTGTGTGGGATCTACGCGATTTGCTTATTTTCATAATTCTATTAAAATTTGCTTATTTCTATAATTTTCCTACTTTTGTAAGAAAAACAAATAGAAAAATCTAGTGCCAAAATTACATGAATAGACAAATTTTAAAAAAGAATTAGAAGAATAGAAAACCGGAAGCATGACGACTTTAAATAAACAAGTTGTACACTCTCCACACGGCTTTCCTAATTAATTTGTTAGAATCAAAAGTCGCTAAGGAGTTAACTTCATGTTTAAAAAGTTGTCTATTTCCTATAATTTTGACACCAAATGTACCAAGTAAAAAAAAAAACTTTGAATTTCGAATCAAAGTAAATATTCCAAAACTTTATTCGGACTATCTTGGCGCTGTTTTACTTGCCTCCAACCCTGTTAAACACTCTTGATCCAAGCACTTAGAATTAGATTTATATTTTGTTCGTGATCATGTTCTTCAAAAGCGTCTTCAAATAGTTCATCGTTGATGTTCTAATTAAGTCGTTGTCTTCTTCCTTTGACAGGTGTATGACCATGGACCCACAAACTATAAAACTGCCGGATGTTTATTTGGCATTCTTTTCATAAAGAAGAAACATCCTCCTTTATACCGAGGTACATGAGATTCCAAAATTTGGGCCAAATGACTCGGAAATTTTCATATTTGACTTCTGCTCATGCAGATCTTAATTCACACTGCACATTAAAATATAGCTAAAGGTAGAGTAGTCTCAAAATTCAGTGAAATTTTCATCTATTTATATTGTATAATTTGATTATATCTTTAGCCAATGCATGATCTCTCACAGAAACCAATAATAATACCAATCAGACCCAAAACACACAGCCAATCACATCTTGGAAAGCCACAAACCAAGACCAAAGAGACATCAGATTGGCCATATAAAAGATAACAAAGGAGACATCGGGTGAAAAGGGAACTTCATCGTGGGGAAGTTAGATTCAGAAAGGAATAGTGATGGGAGGATTGTATTGAAGGTTCGGAAAGATAAAATTGGTATAGGAGGTTCAGAAAGATAAAATTGGAACAGAAAATTCAGAAAGATAAAACTAACAGCGAATGAGATTCTTTTTGGGAACAAAACTATGGAAAATATTCTGTGTTCGTACGTGACTCAACGTCACCAAATAAATAGTTGTATTTTGTATCAGAGCATTGGATTGATACTCCTTTGTAGGATGGTATACAAGGTTCAGAAAGATAAAATTGACAACGAAGGAGATTGTTTTTGGGAACATAAATAAGGAAAATATTCAGTTAGTGCAAAAGGCACCGTCATCAACATAGTTACATTTATTATCAGAGCATTGGATTGATACTCCTTATACAGCTATGGAGATACTTTTTTGGAACATTACTAAGAATAATTTTCGTGTTGATAAATGAGGACCACCACCAACATAGTAACTTTTTGCATCAAGAATTGGATTATACTCCTTCAACATCTATTCAGAGTACACTGATAAACTATTATCCAAATAAAAAAACTTGCCACACTCAGACACACTAGAAACGGCCTAGCAATTTAGCAGACACCAAATATAGTCTCATCATCCAGAACTTAAATATGATAAAAGATAAAAAAAAAAGAAAAAAAAACATAATGAAAGAACGCAAAATGCTTAAGATATTTTCAATGACTCTTTATTTGTGGCTTATCCTTCTAAGAATTGGGAATTCTTCCTATTTTACAGCTTATGCTGTAAAATAAAACCTATTTCTAAATTATTTTGTGGAACTCGTAATAAATGCAAAACTTAGCAATTTGTTTTCAGAAGATTAATTCATAATCCTAATTCGCAAGTTAGACTTTTATTACCTCGGTCGCAGTAAATTTAGGATAGATATCCTTGTGAACTATAATTGAACATTGTCCATGTCATGACACGGGTTAGTCTTTGCATATGTGTCTTCTTCATAAATACAAAGCACCAAAGATACAATCGAGATAATATGATTTTGTTAGAAATCATAACATTACTTTTGAAATTGAAACTACAATGTCCTATGTCTTTCTCACTAACAATAATTATATATAAGAAGAAAGAGTGGAAGACCTTATAGTTTTTCTTGTATGTACACACCACCACCACCACAAAATTTTAATGTAAAAAAGCAAAACACACTACCCAATTTGCAAAGATTGCATACTACTAATTTAAAAATGAGAAAGCTCATTATAATGGAAGTCTTTCAGCTAGCCTTAGAACTAGTTAGAGTCAAGGTAATAAGGAAAATTACCAAAATCATGTTCAATCACTTGTAACGGACTCTGTTAGAGAATGGAGGGTTTATGAGAGAAGAAAGGGAAAACAGAGGACTTAACTGCTAGTCAATTAAGTGGGTTTGGGGAAAGAGGCCTATATAAGGACCTCTTTGTTGTATCAGTTAGTTAGTTAGACATTTGTTGATTTGTTGACCGGTCTTAGCACCTAGTAAAGGAGGTTAAGCTCCTGGACTATTTTGTATTCTAGTTTCTTTCTTGTGAATACACACCCATTATTCATCCCATACTCCGTGGTGCTTGTCTTCCGTGAGGGTAAGAGTGCGAGTGAGTTAGAATTCCTACCTGAATCGCTAACAAAGTGGTCCGACCTGCCGGATCTGTGCGGAGGAGAGAGGGTGCTATGGAGGGAAGGATGAACGTTGTTGAGGGGCGATTGGAGCACATCGAGATGGCGGTGGATGGAATGAAAGCGGAATCAGCGGCGAATCGGCAAGAATCTATGGCCATACGCAAAGACATTCAAGAACTAATGCGGATGATGGGGGCTCGCGCCAAAACAACTGATGACCATTCTGACGGAAGCCA